TATCTGCTTTCTCTTTTCAACTGTCTTTACTCATAGGGTTCAACTGCAGTTAATACGAAATTACAAAAGCTGTAGAAATATTTCAGCATAAAATCATGCGATATAAATAATTATAGTGTTACAGCAATTACGGCCGTAATTATCATTAAGCCTTGCAACCCCGATCAGGATAAGCAGTGGGGAGATTGATGGATGTGTGGATGTAAATAAAATGTACATAAATGCATCTTGAACCTCTAGCTTAAAAATTAGTTTACACATTGCAGCTGATCCCCCCAAATTTAGCAATTAATATATAAACCCCGCTTCTCTCCAATGCCTCAACAATTACGGATGGATTCGAGAGTACAGCATAACTTTGGCTACTTATTACCCATGCGACATACTCAGAAAACGGCGACTGAAACACACACACTGAACCCGAAAAAAATCACAAAAAAACTGAAAATGAAAGACGCAAATTGTGCACTTTTTAAAGTATTTTTTAAATGTAAAACTAGAACTTTACAATGTGATTTCATGATCTTGTTTAAATCTTGAAATACAGGGTGTTCCACCACTTTATTCAGAAAGTAAGAGTAAATAAAACAACAGAAACATTGAAATCACACTTTTAATGTTACAGGTTATTGTTTATAGTTATGTAACACGTCATTCAATAATTCCACACGTTTTCTTCAATTACACTTTCCAGCCTATGACGAAAACTCTGGCACGTCTTTCTTACATATGCCTCATCCATTTTGCTCCAAGTTCTGGTGATGGATGCCCTCAGAGCTTGCACTGATGAATGTGGTTTCTTGCAGGCCTCCTGCTCCATGTATGCCCAGATACTATAGTCCAGGGGATTCAAATCGGGTGAGCTGTGAGGCCACATGTCCTTACCCCAGAAGTTGGTCATGTTCTGCTGTAAAAATTCTTGGGTCTTCCTTGCCGTATGACAGGGTGCACCATCTTGCTGCCATACATAATTTCCATCTGGAAAGGTCCTTTGAATCCAAGGTAGCACATGCTTTGTCAACATCTTGATATAGGCATCAGCATTCACCCTCTCATTTTGTGGAATGAACACAGGCGGACACTTTTTGCCATTGGATGCAACAACCCTTAGTACCATGACTTTGGCAGGGTTTTTTGTCTTGGAAACATGTTTCACACAATCAGGGACATCCTTCACTGCATCCGATGAAATATAACGGTTGTTTCTACGGTTGAGACCCCGATCAACACAAAACAATTTTTCATCACTGAAGAGGATGACTCTGCCAGATGAGTGTTTGACATCATTCAAGAGACGTTTCGCCCTGTCTACCCTTTTCTTTCTGGAATCTTCAGTTATTAGGTGGGTGCTGGTGATGGCCCTAGAAGTGGCACCAAGGTCTTCTTTCACTAAGCGATGCATTGACGTAGTGCTCACACCCACATACTTTGCCATCTTGCATTCGGTTTTTCACCTTTCTAATGACATCTTTGCTTCGAACACTTCTACGTCAGCCAGTAGACCTTTTCTTCATCTCCTGACTCTCTGTACATTTTTTTTACATTGTTTAGTGTTTCTGTGTAAGTTTAAGGCACTTGCAATCTGCTTAGGAGATCTCCCGGCACGAGCAAGATCAATGATGGCCTGTCTTTTGGCTTCCATATTTAAGAATGAGACAGTTAAGGCTAGGTAACCTACTTAAGAGTATTAGTCTGGTAATTGTTTATGTGTTTCAGGTGAAATAGACGACTATACCAAATTAGATTGTTTGCAGGTGTGTGGTTTAAGAGTGCACAAGTTAAGGTGGAACACCCTGTATACATTAGAAACCTTAAGAGTAATTACTCTTAAATACAGTTAAATACACGAGACTACAGATTGGGCGTCAGGCTGGTGTTAAACAGCGTCAAGCGAACGCAGCTACAAAACGCAGGAAAAACACGTATGGCGTTCAGAGGGCGTTCATTTCGAACGTCCGTGTGGATGAGGCCTAAGAGTAATTACTGCCCTCACAGGTAAATATACGAGACTACAGATTGGGCGTCAGGCAGGTGTTAAACAGCGTCAAGCGAACGCCAGTGAAACGCCAATCGAACGCAGCTACAAAACGCAGGAAAAACACGTATGGCGTTTAGAGGGCGGTCATTTCGAACGTCCGTGTGGACGAGGCCTTAACGGTGGCACAAAGCGCAGATTGTGTAAACGTACACGGCAGCACCAAGCGGTGCACGTATTAAACACCGAATCGCTTATTTTAATGCAGCGCCAGATGAACCAAAGCCTAACATGATCAGTGCATATGGTTTTGTTTATAGCAGACTTCACCCTGCGTTACCTCCTCCGATGACCACGGCGTCGTACTGGGGCTTCGGCGCTGCCGTGTGACTGGCTCTGCAGGCTGTCCCCAGGGCGGGGGCGGCGAGCCACGCACGGCCAGTCTGGACCATAGCAGCCATGGTTCAGGGTGCCCACCTCAGTCACAGTTTTCCCACTTTCACATTGGCCCCTCCCACTGGACGATGAGCCCTTAAAGATCCGCCTATAGTTACAGTAGAAAACCGAAATGCACTGGAACCTTGTCGTTTTGTAATGTTTCACGCAGTTATGGGGAGGAGGTCGCTTAATAATAAGCTATACGAGTGCAGAGCACACAGCCAGAAAAGGCTCCCACTTATTCTGAATGTCCGGGCAGTAACACAATCCTACATGAAAACACAGACATACAAATACAAAATAACCCTCCGATTAGGATACATTAATATACTGTAAAACTAGTAAAATGAAGATGTAACTGATATATTCCTAAGCGCATTATAATTGCAATAAAATGTACAGATTTACGCACGCATAATAAAATTTACGTCAACACAAAAAACTAATCCACTTATATTAACAATGTCTTAAGTCGTAATTCTTTAGATGACATCCCACCATACACTAAACGAAACACTCTATTATAAATGAAGACGCGCAGTCCCTAAAGTTGATTTTAGCTATTGTTATTTTCTCACGAGCGAAGGGAAGCCAGAAAAATACATCGGATAAATTCAAAAAACAGAATCCCTGTCTGAAATACCATAAATTCGATAAACATTCATTTAACCGCATAGTCGTGCAATAGACTTTTATTTTGAAATCATGACCGTAAGGCCGGAGTGATCACACTAATACGGCTGGTTTAGGACAAAAGGGGCGTACACTACATGTTAAATGTCACCCGATAAATTTACTGTAGCTCGGTTCAATTAGTCTTAAACTAGAATTCTGGTTGAATATTTTAGTGTTAATGGCATACAAAGCACAAACAAAACATGAGAAACAAGCAAGAGTTCAATAATATTTTCCATTGTTTGTGTAAATACTACAGTAACAGTTCTGTAAATATAGGAATAATAATCATTATACAACAGAGATATCCCTCTCCGAGAGCCTCCTGCCTGGGCATCCTGGGAGACCAAAGTGTTTGGTCAGGGTGGCAGACAAACGCCTCATTCGGGGAAGATTTCAGGGGGGCAGAGGAGTGTCGTTCTCTGTGCAGTGTGCTCAGGCCTCCCAAGCCGCTAGCTCGGTATCTGTACTTGCTGAAAACTTTATGCTTGTGGTGGACACAGTGACACCTGTGGCCTGAGAGGAAACAATCCAGTTTACCACAGTACACAGGACGTGATGTGTTTGCTTTGGCCAGGAGAACATATAGGAAAGTTATTGCATAACTGGCATCCTGTACAGTGGTGGACGTGAAAACTCTTGTGTTCACATTATCATCAAACAGAGAATCGACAGAAAAACAAACAGGCTTCTGCTCCTGAGAAATGAAGGAGCCGTTCTTTGGAACGACCTTCTGGGATCACAGCATGCCCCTCGGTAACAATGGTCTACCATAAAAATCAGGGGCCTGTATCACAAAGCTGGATTTCTTGCTTGCTCGGATAACTTGTATTTAAGGTACCTCAGTTTAAATTTTAAATGACCCTTTTCTTTGTTCACTTATATTTAGCTCAGACTACCTTAAATCCAACAAGTTACCCACATAAGCAAGAAACTGGGCTTCGTGACACAGACCCCAGGAATCGTCACTTTATTTCAATAAAAACATCACGGAAAATCATAACCTGGCCATCTTTCTGCATACTGATGTGTTCGATTGCAGTAATTACACATTTCAGTGAATTCCCTAAAGCATAATCTAACCAACACATGCTGAGAAGAACCAGGCACACAGAACAAAAAAAATCATGCGGAGATCCAAAAACATCTGAAAACTACAGGAATTTACTCCACATACAAGAGGAGTCAGTTCAGGCCCAGTTGGCTGGGCCAGGTCCTGAATGGAGAAATTACAGTGATGAAACCCGATTGCTGTCCAGCATGCAGACAATCTCCTGGGGGTGCTGGCACACATCAAAAAGGTCGTAGAGAATCGAGTGGACAGCAGTGAAATAGAGCAAGGTGGGAATGACCAACATGTTTGAACCCATCGCTGAGTAAAGTGCACTGCATGGCTGTACTGTCAGTGAGTAAAGTGCACTGCATGGCTGTACTGTCCGTGAGTAAAGTGCATTGTATGCCTGTACTATCCGTGAGTAAAGTGCACTGTATGGCCATACAAGGAGTATGCATTAGTGTTTTATTTTGAAATCATGACTGTGAGCCTGAAGTGATCACACTAATATTGCTCATTTAGGACAAGGGACGTACACTACATGTAAAATGTCATCAGATAAATTTACTGTAGTTCAGTTCCATTATTCTTTAACTGGAATTGTCTGTAAATAACTTAGGAACTAATCATCTTCTGAGAAGCTGACTTTTCAGCTCTGCAAGCTAAGCATTGCTGATTCAATCAATCATAAAAAGATTAACTATAAAGACAGCTGTAACAGAAAATGAATATTGTATAGAACAATGTGTGTGGCTGGATGTATAAAACATGCAGCGGGTGGTAAACCTTGTTATGAGTTTACTTGTGTTTTAAGAGTAAGATTTTCCATGATGGCACAGACTGGATGACATGACCTCATTTTGCTTATGCTGTGAAACCCAACTCTTCACGTTTGTACTGAATCAGACCTCCCAGGGGTCAGCAGAGAAGCTGCTCCCCACGGCTGGTCTTGGGTTTCCCGGCAGTTGCTTGCAGCACCTCTCTGTGGGAGTGTTAAAAGGTATGAGGTCAAGGAAGACGAATAACACTTCCCAAGTGCGCACCCGTATCTCCTTAAGGAAACTCATTCTCACAACACACAATCAAGCCTAATTCAATCAGGGCCATACGATTTTCTTCTTGTAAGCAGAACTTAACACTTCATTGCTTCTGTCTGCAGAAATTTAATACCGGCCTCCTGATCAGCTCTTACTGGCGTAAGGGACACAAATCACATTATCTGAAGACTGGCCTGAATTAAACATGATTAGCTACTTTAGGGGAAATTAGCTAATTTCCTGCTTATGGCAGAGAGGTTCAGTAATGGATATGTGGATAATGCTAATTGATGAGGGAGTTATTGCCAGGGCAACCATTATATCAAAATGGACCGCTCTGTGTCTTCACATGCTGTCCAAAAGAGGGCGCCAAGAATCCATATACCAGGGGTCACCAACCTTTTTCAAACTGAGAGCTACTTCATGGGTACTGAGCCATAGGAAGGGCTACCAGTTTGAAATGCCTCCTAAACTTATCTAAACTTCATGTATGATAAACATGTTTCAAATGCTTTTTTTTTAGATATTGTAATTTTCAAATCTATATAAAGAAGAATAGCAACAGGATAAAATTAAATTTTAGACGTTGCTCACTGGTGAGTTGTGCTATTTTTAGAACAGGTCCGCGGGCGTCTCATGTGGTCTTGGGGGCATCCTGGTGGCCACGGGCACCATGTTGGTGACCCCTGCCATATACAGTACCTAGAAACAGAGCCTAAATTACAATGGCACGCATGCTGCGTTCCCCATGGCCCTGACGAGGATTAGTGGTTAGAAGATGAATGGACAGTGTGCATCAGAGCTGGACCGGGATTGAAAATCTGCCCTGGACTTTGAGGTCCCCCACAATTAATTTTGTTGAGAGAAGGGGGTGGGGTCCCTCACAATAAATTTTGTCACCCCAAAAACTGATTGGCCCACTAGTAAAATGCCTGGTATGCCATATGGCCAGTCCAGCCTTGGTGTGTACTACAAGTGTCCCACTCTGAGTGAAACCACAGTTACAAAACAGACCACTTGCTCATAGTTATTTCTCAGCAAGATCCAAAATATAAGCAATACACTAGAGGGCTTGATAGCTGTAAATGTCCAAAATGCTGGATCGAGGTGAACCACTCCCCAGAACACCATCTCCTTCAGACAGCATCCACAGCGCCAATCAGAAAGCACAGGTCATCACCCTTATTTCCCAAGCCAGTGCATTGAGGCTCCATTCAGTACGAGTCGAGTGTTTAGCAAACCACCCCCGCCCCCCAGTCTACACAGCACAACTGAAAAAAAGATGACACTTTATAAAAGAACAGCACCAAGAACGTTTCATTTATTATTGTCAAGGCTGCCTTTTTCTGGACTTAGCAGTAATCAACCAGTAAAATTGTAACCAAAGGAATTACCATGCAGCTGCATTAAATTACTGACAATCTGGATTTCACAGTAATGCATAACATGTAAGATATAAACGAACAGAACTGGGGTACGCCTTAACTCCAAGACCGCAAAAACACCAAATGCAGGCCAGACTGTAATCCTTATACCACAGTTTGACCCAAGTCATCTGCTGAGCTTTTACCTGGCACACCTAATATTATTGTTCTTCTGTGACACAAAAAATGGACTTAAGCTTTAGTCCATCACAAATTGCCATTGCACTAAGGCAGGTTATAGTGTAAAGTACTCAGGCGAGCACCCGTTTAGTTCAGTAAAATAGGCCTCATTCTTTTTCGTGGCAACTGCATTAAAGTTAACTGAACCGGAGCTAAGACTGCAGCTCTTGATACGTGTAGCACACTCATCCTAATAAACCGGATTAGAATAAACCCACATAGACACCACACACAAACAGGCCTGGAAGCTACATTGGGGCCACCAGCTAAAGAAGCGTTAATATACCTGCCTATAAGCTATCTACGGATCAAGGGTGAGGATTTCAAGACGCATAAGCAGATATTCCTAAAATCGAAGGCGCCCTGATAGGAATGGCAACATCCCATTAACAATCATTTATTTCCTTAACTCCATCAACAGCCCATGCCAAGTTAGACCACTGAGCTGTCAATTTGTGCCTTTTCTGGGAAATAAAAAGCAACACATGCTAGCAGTTAGAGCCGCCATGTTCTAACGGCTCACTAACTGAGGTGTAAACCTTAGATAGAAACGCAATACGTCGCTGTTTTATTTCTTCCTAACCTTAGCTATAAATTGGGAGTTTAGAGTAGGTGCAGTTTAAAAGCACATACTAAACAGTTTATGCAAAACTCTACCGATGTAGAGGTAATGTTCGTTATTTTTCTAAGTACAGGCATTAATGTAGCAAAAGCCGAGAATCCCCGGAAGGACAGCCATCTTCTGACGTTAATCCAAATCAGGTTACTGCCGTGGCTGTTTCATGAATAGTCACATATATATAAACTTTCTAAATGAATCTGTTTGAAAAATAGCAGCAACATTAAATAGTGAATATTTCACATGTTCATTAAACTTTCAAATTATGCATTTGTCATATTTTGTCCTGTCGTCTATTTTATATGGATATAGGTACAGATACATAATTTTGTGAATTAGTGCAGTTTACTCATTTTCATTTAGAGAAATTGATACAAATCTACACACATTAGTTTTTTTCAGTGCGGGATTTTTTTCCAATCGGTCCGATCTTGCCCTTGACCGATGCTGGAATTTTGAAAGGGACACTTACAGGAAAGGGATACTTACGAATCCGGCTAAACGCCGGGGGCATTTCCCCAGCTAACCCTGGTCCAATCACAATCGCTATTTGCCTATTCCCGCCTTTTCCCAAAAGTCGCCTGGGAAACAAGAAGAAAGTTGATTTCAGAGTTTAAACCCAAGACTAATACATTAGTGTTAAAATTACAAACTACTACTGATGAAAAGTACCTTTTTCAGTAATGTACTATTTCACTGCCATACGCTTGTATATTTAATTCTCGGAATAATTGTGTCGCTATTGGCCATTGTACATTTGAGTGACAGAGTGAAAACGACAGGAATAGAGACTTCTGACCTTACCCAACAGTTAAAGGACCAATTGCAGGGCAAGAATCGCTTTGTGGGCGGGACATTTTCCGACCAGGGCCTGCTCGGCCTGTCTCATGCCGTGGGCTTCACCCTCCTGCGTGTTCAGGAGGCGGGAGGCTGTTGCTGCTGCTTTCTCGGGGTGGTCTTAATGACATATTCATACTTCTAAGAGCACAAACTGGCTAAAAAGTGAAGTCAGACGTTTCATACGTTTCGTTTGGTTTCAATGGAAGCTGATGGTTTTTTAAATAGACGGCGGATGTCAGCGGAGGCCCCCGGCGGAGATGGTGGCGTCGTAGGAGCTTCGGCTGGGGCAGAGATTCGATGGCTGGGCGGCAGGATTTGGGGAGTTTCTGATGGGATTGTTGGCAGCCTGTCCCCTCGGATCGGGAGCGAGTCAGAGCTGCAGACTGTCCAGTTGCACGGCTTTCCGGAAGTCATCGAAAATACCGAGCCGGACTACGAGGGTCTGCCGCAGGGCGCGTCTACCAGCACCCACATGCTGGCCGGGGCCGTGGCAGGGATCATGGAGCACTGCTTGATGTTTCCCATCGACTGCGTCAAGGTAAAATGTGGTTTATGTTTGGCGACGTTTCGCCATTTTTTTAGGTGCATTATTTTTTGCGTGCAATTAGTTGGTGGTTAAAAAGAAGCTGGCTGCTGTGACAAGGTCGAACCACATGCTAAGAAGCTAACGTGGCCAACAAGTGTTAGCGGGCTGTCAGAAGTGAGGAGCGGCGACCTTTCTCTGTCACATCACCTCATCAAGTGTTAAAACTAACTGTATACAGTTTGAATTAACGATAAACCCGTGGTACCCGAACATCACACGACGACCGCTTATTATTTCAGGTTATTTATTGCTCCCTTCGGCTCCAGTTTAACGGCCCTTGGCGTATCCTGGCAGCTAACATGCTATCGTGGATATTTCATACTTTTATATCACGTGTGACAGTTTAGATTGCTTTAACTTTATTTTGACTTTTAACTTAAATGATGCTCTTTCCTTGCTCGGACGACTTCAAAAATTAACCAAGATGATTACACGCCATTAATCCAGCGGATGTCCGGTAAGTCCTCCCTGGTGGCCGGACAGGCCTAGCGGGACTCCGGCATGCTGCGTGGAGGTAAGGGTCTGGAGACCCCGACCCGGTTAACAATGCTGTCTGACCGGAAGTCTTATTATAGCTACCGGCCTCCGCAGATCCGGCTCACTAACGTGCAGCCACGTTTACGGTTCGGTGCATTTGTGCCACACTCCCGACACTGGCTCTTTGCGCCTTTCGCCTCCTCCACGTTACTGCTTCTTCCCGTCAGTAACGTGACCCTTAAAATCCGCACGATCACAGGCAGACAGCTCCATAATTACACGCTGGAGGTGCCGTAAACTGGGGGAAACGTGTATGGAGTTTACAGTAAACGGCGTCTAGCTTCCAGGGATTACGAGCCTGGGAGATGTAGCCATGTTGTAATTATGTTGTTAAATTTTCTGTGGTTGGGACTTCCGAATAGCAAACACGCACGTGGGTTTGCACGTCCTTTTTATAATAAAAATTTTAAATCAGTTAGTTGCGGTGTCCCCTGCTTAGTTGAAAATCAGTTCCCCCTTCCTCTTAGGGCTTTGGGCCAACTTCTAAGGGTGTTCCTGCTTTCAGACGGGAGATATGAGAGTGCTCTGTGCCGTGAGTACATTCAGATGTGTCTGACAGCCTGAAAAGCTCACAAGACAGGGCTTCTCTCCCACATGTCCCTCACAGCTGCAGCTCTCACTGTGGAGCCGCTTTTAAGAGAGAGCGGCCGGGTCCACTTGTGTGCATAAGGTGAACAATAGAAATGGCCAACATTGTGCTAAAGGTCAGCTGTTTACATTAAATAAGGCTGCTGATCTTTGTGTACGCTTGTCCTGTGCCACCCTACTTTTGTAAATCGCCATGTTTAAGAGGGAGTCAGCACTGATTGGGTCGTTAGTGCAGGATTCCCGCACTTGCACCATTTGCCACATGGGCCTGGCTGGGTATGGAGCTGTAACCAGTTTAGAAATATCAATGAATATTAATTGATATTGCTGTTATTTATGTTGAGGATTCAGGAGTGATGTATGGCTATGTGGGTTAGGATGCAGTGCGCATGAGGCTGTGGGTTCAAATCCCATGGTGAATCAGAGTGGTTTCACCATTGAGTCTTTGAGAAAGGCCCTTCACTGCTATTGCTTCAGGGGCTGTGACTAACCCCTGCTTTCCTAATTGTCGCTTTGGGTAAGGGTGTCTGCTACAAGGGGCGTTCACTAATTTATCTACCTGAGTATGAAAGAAAAGAGTTTCCAAAAAAAAAAAATTGTTTTTCAATATTGTCCACTGATACATAACTACATACACTTCATCCACTTTTCCTACAATGACATTAACCCCTTTGAAAAAGAATCTTCTGTTTGACCTTCAAACCAGGACTTCATAGCTGCCTTGACATCTTCATCACTTGAAAACCGTTGTCCACAGAGAGATTTCTTCAAAACTAGGAATAGGAAATAATCTGAGGGAGCCAGGTCAGGACTGTAGGGTGGATGGTTCAGCTATTGGAACCCACATTTTTGGATGGCAGCCTGTGATTGACGTGACATGTGATCCAGCGCATTGTCGTGAAGAAGCAGCACGCCTGCTGTGAGTTTTCCTTGTCTTTTTGCCTTGATTGACTCCCAAAAAGCGACTATTATTGTTGCCATAACTCTCCCCAGTTATGGTTGTCTTATGTGGCATGTACTCCATGCAGAAGCAAAAGTCCTTCAATATCCCAGAAAACAGTTGCCATGACTTTGCCTGCAGATGTTTCTGCCTTGAACTTTTTTCGGTTGGGGATGACTTGTACTTCCACTGCATTGACTCCATTTTGGACTCAGAATCTCTGTGGTAGACGCAAGTCTCATCTCCAGTCACCAAACAATGAAAACAATTCACTTGGTCTTCACGGGACATCTCTAAGTTCTCCTGACAGCACTGCAGCTTTGTGGCCTTCAGACATGGCATCAGCATTCTTGGATCCCATCTTGCAATGACCTTTGACATGCCCATCTTTTCATTAATTATTTTCCAAACTGTACCTGCTGAGATGCCCATTTCATCAGCTGTTCGGGAAACCTTAAGTCGTCTAACAAAAATAAATCCTCAACTTTCATGCACATTTCTGTGGAAGTTGCTTCCACTGGCCATCCAGTGTGAGGGTCATTTTCAATGCACTCTCTATCCCACTGAAACTGCTTGAAAATTTTACTTTGTATGGTGAGACACACCATAAACTGCAGTCATGCTTTCATGAATCTCCTTTGGCTTTTTCAGATTTTTTGTGAAACTTTATCACTGATCATTGCTCCAAATCTGGCATTTTCTTTCTTGATTTGTATGAAGACTCTCTGGACATGTTAGACTGCCACTGAGCCACAACTGTAGTAACCTTAAGACAAGTCACAACATACCCAGACTTGTTTCAACATGCTTGCTCCTTTCTTTCATACTCGGGTAGATAAATTATTGAACGCCCTTCGTAATAGGCATGCCATCCACCACAACATTCTTGACTCTGAAGTTGCATTTGGGTCAATTTTCTCCCCAAAAAAAAAAAAAACAGTTGTGTCACTGACACTGGCTGTTCTGCTTTGCTTGCGAGAACAAAGGGATGCAGTGTTGTCTGAATAGGGAAATCTCTTCTGACACTGCTTGCGAATAAGGCTGGAGAAGGAGAAAAAATGATCCAAATACTGCCACACTACAGAAGGCATTATATAGACAGCATGTGTTTACACTCACTCCCACCATTGCTTACTGTTCGGCATGTCCGTTAGGTTAAACCGGGACTGGAGCTTTCAGATGGCAGGTTACTGCATAGAATGCTTATGGCTTTTACTGATGGAAAGTAACTGTTACTTAATTACTTACTTGCAGACAAATCAATAAATGGTCCTGACCCTAGGCCTGATTCACACTTTAATTTGCATAACACAGTGTATTTGTTTGTAGCGGTTGGGCTCAGTCTGCATCTGTCTGCTTGTTTGAGTGAGGAGTGTATGGGTGTGCATTTCATACCAGTACCCTTTGGAGTGTCTTATACTATATGCTGCCCTGTCTTGCAAAACTTGTACATGTATAAACATGCTTTTAAAGCTCATTTTTGTAGCTGGCTGATAAGAATAATCTGTGGAATAATCAGTATAAATTCCAGAGGCTTCATGCAGATTCTTTTCGGCCTGCTTGTGTCTTATTGACACCTGTGGCTCCCACGGAGGGCTGGTGACCTCATTCATCTAATCCCCTTATACTGCAGACCCGGATGCAGAGCCTTCAACCAGACCCAGCTGCCCGCTACAGCAACGTGATGGAGGCGCTGTGGCGTATCGTCAGGACGGAGGGAGTCTGGAGGCCCATGAGGGGCCTGAACATCACAGCAGTGGGGGCCGGGCCCGCCCACGCACTATACTTCGCCTGCTACGAGAAGCTGAAGAAGACATTGAGTGATGTCATCCACCCTGGAGCAAACAGCCATTTGGCTAACGGTACCGGTTACTCTTCCACAGTGGACCTAACATGTGCATACAGATTGTTAGACAGTCGCGTCCTGGGAAGACTGGGGCTCACAGCCGTTTTTATAGGTCATAACCATGCACTGTGAGCTCCAGTCGTTACTAGCAGCCCATTGTGTACCATGTGCTCCGTACCAGTATCTGTAAACTGTGAGCTCTGATTCAGGCCTTGGTGTGAGGGAGAAGAGATAAAGGGATCGTCCAAGATTAAGAGAGATTTTGGCCCCCGAAGGAGCAGGGCCACATGATAAAATGATACAGTAGGTGTAGGAAGGAATGCATTGTTTGAGAAATCCTGAAGCTGTCCTGTAGGAAGCCTGTTTCCATGCAGACTGACTTCACTGTGTGCCGACTTCCTGTGTGAAGCGCAGGATGGCCCCGCCCTTTCGCCCGGCATGCTCACTGACACGCTTTCCTGCCGATAAGGCGGAACACCAGGAATGCCACTGGCGTATCTGTGAGCCCGAGTGGCACCCAGGACTCGCGTGTCCCAGTGAACCGTGGAAGATGGGCTGAAAGAGAGAGGCATAGCTGTTTGAAACTGCTCTCTTCAGCCCAGGATTGAGGGTAGCTGTGTAACACGCTGAGCTCATCATCCTTTTTTCGGAGTCCGGATCCCCCAACTGCAGCTCAGTGTGCGATCAGCCTCTAGCCGATGTCCATGACCTTTGTCTTCTGCAAATATTTGAAGTATTTTCAGTGGTGTAATGCCCTTGATGTTGGACAGCTCATGGTAGGGGAATAGATGTCTGTAGCACCAATGAATGAGTGATGTTCTCTGAAAGGCCAGGCTGCAGTCAGAAATGTGAATAGATTTGGTCACATGCTTTTTTTTTATGCGCGTTGCTCCTCATCTCTCAGGTCAGGGAGTCTTCATTACGCAGTCATATAATCAGGGTGAATGATTGTCTCCACTCCCTTTAGAGCAGGATTTTATTTTTTTGGACTTGAAATTTCTGTAATGGTCAATGCTACTGAATTGCGCTTTCTCAGTTCCACTTTTCTTAATAGCGCATGTTATCCCCAAGCAGCGAGGCGTTGGGCTGTTCACAGTACTGGCATCGTTGTTGTTGAAGGTGACATTTATGCTCTATGTACCTTTTTGCTTTTTTTTTTTTTCTTTCCTCTCTCCCCTCATTCTAGGTCTGGGGAAGGCTGGGTAAGTAGTGTCTGGCATGTTCTCTAGATGAAAAAGAAGCAGGAATGAGTGCCTACCTGAGTTATCCACCAGGGGGAGCTGAGCTCAATCAGAACATTTTGGTCACTGCATTTTCTTGTAGTTGTTTGGGGCGTACCCAGATTTCATCCCCGTTTTAGATTGATGAGATTAATATACTTTTTAGCACTTGGGGAATGACAGCGGCCAAATTAACAGAAATAGGAAGTATTTAAGGATGGTGAAATTGCCAGTATCAGGAAGCGAGTCTAAAGAGGAAGTGGAGTGGAGAGGAACTGAAGTCCTGTCCTCTACTCCCAAGATGCGTAGATGGGGGCGGCTTAATTCTTCTGGTTTTCCGGTTTGACCCGGCGTCCGTTCGGCGCCCACAGCTGCTCAGTCGCGTCCTCTGATTCACATCCCCCTCACCTGCGAGGCTTTATCTTGCAGGAACTGCCGGATGCGTGGCCACGTTGCTTCACGATGCCGCCATGAACCCAGCTGAAGGTGAGGCCTGTTGCACTCCTGCTGCCTACATGCTTTAATGGTGGTCAGCCGGCCTCCTGTGCTTCTGGTTTATTTTTTATCGTTACTGTTAATTTCTAGTGTTGTGGTGTTTTCTGAGCAAACATACATTTAGTACCCAGATAATCAGCCTTATTCATTTTCTTTGACTTCCTGAGACACTTGCACAGTACTCTCTGTAGCTGATAGGTGCTATATATTTAAGTACCTTTAACTGCATGCATTTGCTTTTAGGACTCTGTATTTTGGTTTTCTAATCCTTGCTTTCCTTTTTTCCTTTTTGGCACCCTTGACTTTGATGGAAACCCCCCTCGGCCTTTTCTTCTGTGTGATGTGCCCCCTAGTGGTGAAGCAGAGGATGCAGATGTACAACTCTCCATACCGCAGCGTTTTAGACTGTATGCGGGCAGTGTGGCAGAAGGAGGGCGTGGGGGCCTTCTACCGGAGCTACACCACCCAGCTGACCATGAACGTGCCCTTCCAGGCCCTGCACTTCATGGCTTATGAGTACCTCCAGGAGTTACTCAACCCCAACAGACAGTACAACCCCCCTTCTCACATGGTGTCCGGGGCGCTGGCGGGGGCGCTGGCTGCTGCAGCCACCACCCCACTTGACGTTTGCAAGACGCTCCTGAACACCCAGGAGACTCTGGCACTACACACGCTCAACTCTGGTGGACACATCTCAGGCCTGGCCCATGCCTTCCGGACGGTGTACAGGCTGGGTGGCCTGCCCGCCTACTTCAAGGGCGTGCAGGCCCGCATCATCTACCAGATGCCCTCCACGGCCATCAGCTGGTCTGTCTACGAATTCTTCAAGTACGTCATCACCAAGCACCACCACGAGAAGAGGAAGCGGGAGCGTGACAGCGAGAAGTAGTGCCTGAGTCAGACTGAATGAAACCTTACAAACGCACAGAATCCCAAAGCCTCCCCCTCCCCCACGCTGATGTGAAGAGGCTTCCTCACAAGCTTAAACAAGCCAGACATTTATTACATCCAGTTACTGAATAGTGGTCATTTGAGCCATTGTCAAAAGATTGCACTTAACGTTTTGAGCTCCAAAGTTATTTTAACGAATGTTTAAAAAAAAAAAAACCTAATAAAAAATACACTGCAGACCTTAAGCCAACAGGGAAGTCTGGCTGCAGTCAGTGAATTTATGTACCTGAAAGGCCGAATAAATGCTGTGTGACCTTGTAGGGTCTTACATGTACACGCATGTCAGATCATGTTTCTGTCCATTTTCTCAGAAGCCAGATTGCTTGGCACAGATGGTGACATCAGAACAAAAATGCTGCTGTTCTTTTTCTTAATAAACGCAACCCTTTTATGTAAATGTTACGGAGGAAATAATTGGAGTTGAGGAGAATCAGTCCCAAACTGGAAGCCATACTTCTGGTGAAAAATCTTGTAATCAAAAGTTGTGTATTGAGTTTTCATCTGACCACACCCACCAATGTGTCATCCACCAATGAGGTTGCCGTGAAGTGCATGGCACTGATTGTGGTGCCTTAGCCTGTACCACTTAGCCCTCCAGCATGTCTGTGATCTAATTGGCCAGAGCCTCCAACATGTCTGTGATCTAATTGGCCATGCCTGCTGCCAGTGACCTATGAACATGCTCTGTGTGGCTTGGGGGCTGCTCCTTCAAGTAACCACCTGTTCACATATTCATCTGTTTACTTTTGATTTCTTGGCCGCCCGTACCACTTCATATTTAAACTGTATTAAGATGTGTGCAGATGAGCATAGGAGATTTGACCAGTTTATAGGCCTGGTTATATTTTCTGGTTTATTAGTGGTTTCAGCCACAATGGAGTGATGCTCTCATTGGACATGTTACTATTTTTTTTATTGTACACAGCATTTCTCACTGGGACGCCACCCTGTAGTAAAGATTGCTGTGTTTCCCATCCCGGATTTTAATTTCAGCCTGAGCCATCTCCCTGTTCACACACCTTTTTTCTGATTGGGCACAGATGTAAATGATGCATTTGTCGTTCTGTTACTCTCATAATGTGGCCACTTCATCATTGACGGACCTGAAATAATTTCTGACCTCTCTGTAACGTTTGTCTGCTGTCAATAAACTGTCAGTCACAGGCTTCCCCAAGCTGCTTGACCAAGCTGTGAAGGTCTACCTGTGGTTTTTGAATTAGCACCGGTGTCTCACACCTCCAGGGTTCGTGGGTTGCAGACATGCCTCCTCTGTTTGTGTGGACTTTTCATGTTCTCCCCGTGTTGTATGGAATTCCATCCTGCTTTCCAAAGACTTGTCATCTTTAAATGATCTGTAATCTGCATTTGAGTCTGTGTGCATGTCCCCTATGATGTGCTGGCATCCCATCAGGATAAGACAATTGCTTTACAGATGTAGAGGAATGCCGAACGGACCCTTACTTGGTAGCATGTGTCATGTTCGGTCATGCCTGCAGATGGTGCTGTAACCTCTTTTGCCCCCATATTTGTTCTGCTTGCATGGTCTGTGTTTCATGTTGGTGAAAAACTCTTTCCTTGGGCATGTGAACATTTTCCCTCATCCCTTCCTTCATCCTACGTGAGCTTTGTGATGAGCAGACTCTTTGCAAGTGGCTCAGAATATTACCTCTAAAACTATTCCTTATGTGTCTCCTTAGTCATGCTTTTAAACTCTCCAAGCCAATGCAACATACGGCGTAGACTGAGATGATTAGAAGTCGTTTAAGTTATAAATGGACAAAATGGGGCAAACGAGCAGCAGAGCAGGTTTGTGCAGCATGGTGTGCTGTCATGCTCCTGCTTTACACACCCTGTTAGCCAAACACCTGTTCAAACAGCGTTAATGAGTCATCCTGTTGTGCCAGTGCATGTGTAGTTCCTTGGTTATTCCTCTTGTCCCAGGTGTAGGTTCTCAACACCCCCCTACCCCCAACACCACACGCTTGGGCAAACACATCTAAAAGCAGCTAAAAGTCTCTGGCCTTACGTGCTCTGTTTTCAGGAGAGCTGATGGTCGCAGTGAATGAGCAGGGCATTGTGAATGTTATTATGGTTCAAGAGATAGTGGCATTCTGCGGATGGGAGTGCGATTGGACATACTGAAGGATTGTACTTTATCAACATTTACGTCCAGTTCCACTAGAGGGCACTCTGAGGCTTGGAGCTTTCTCTGCCTTGCTCATTTTTAATATGTTCATCATCTCTGAGCTTGCATTTAGGTGGGATTCAGCTGGACGGTGCAGTGTGTGGCTCAAAAGTAGCCATAACGTGGTAATCCAGATAATCACAAAGATGCTGAATGGGTGACATGTCCGGTGAGTATGCAGCCACTGTGCAGGTCTATGATTGGGCTACCAAAGCAGACGAGGCTAATGGTAGAGAAATGGACATTCATGACTCTGGCCACAGCTCCAGTGGAGTGGATAGCCCACGTCCAGGATGCCAGTGGCATCAGGGTCATTGAGTTTGTCAACAGAAAAATGCACGTTTTAGATTTCCCTTTTATTGTCCTCATAAGCAACACCTGTATAATGATTATGCTGCTCTGTCAGCGTGTTGATATGCCACTACTGTGCAGAAGATAGATTATCAATGCATTAAAAAAAATCAATAAAGACTATATTTGGCAAAATTTGGAAGACGTATGCTCTTTATGTGCCTACAGAAAATCCTGGATTGTTTTTCAAACTTCTGTAAAATGGGAGCAAAAGTGTTGCATTTGTACATTTGTTCAGTGTATTTAGGCTTGAAGGATGGTTCTTGGCTGAAAGAAGCTCAGAGTAGCCCCTATGTAGTGGAGCTTCTTATGCTGCAGGTATCAGCCTGACCACTATCACTCACTCAGGACTTTTATTATTGTCATCGGTCGGAGATTATACCCTATTGTTCAGCCATTATAACAGCAAAGATGGTCCTGCATCATGCTGCATCGTGCATCTAAGACACAACCACATCTCAGTCAGATGTCTGTCTCTGCCAACCTATTTCAAAGAGTTTCATTATTTTATCCTTATGCTTGTGCAGAAATATTGTGTATCATTTTGTTGTATTGAAATCGAGAATCAAGGACAGGGCAGGAATGCCAGGAAAGCCATCGCCTTTTCATTTACTTCTGCATACTTCTTAGGCTACATAGTTCTCTTTGTATTGAGGAAGGTGACACATAGTTTTGACAAGGGTGAGCGGCAGGCCTGCAGGTGGAGTGGAAGCTGTCATATTCACCTTGGGCTGCCATGCAGATCTCCTTTCTCCTGCAACGCGTTTGTTTTCGTTCCCTCCCTTTCACTTGTTGCCCCTCTTCGAGCCCTCTCTCCTGACAAATGCCTGTCAGGTTCTCTGTTCTCACCCTCAGAGGAACAGGGACCTGTAAAACAATCAGGGCCTGAAAGGCGGGCGGCCTCCTTCGGCACGCACCTGTGGGCCTGCTCACACCAGACAAAAGGCTGCTTGCCACAGGGTCGCAGGCCCTGTGTTTGTTTGCTTTACCGCGTGATTTTGTCTACCTAAACCAGCTCACAAATGACGGTTTCTTTGGAGAACTGCAAATAAGGCAGACTGGGTGGCCTTGGATAAAGCAGACAGACACGGTCGGCATTCAGCAGGGCTGCCTGCCTTCCATGGGGTAGCACAGAAAGGAAGCTGGACAAGCAATGCTAATGCTAAGCTGTTAGCAGCAGGATATGTGGAGTTTTTTTGGTGCCTTTAGAGGCAATAACTATAATGTAAATACCACTGTAGAGACATGGGTGTAAGGCTGCTTAATTGCATGCAGAGTCTAGCAGTGTTGATAGGAGCTTTAACACTGCAGTCTGATGGACCTATGCTGTTTTTAGGACTCCAGCTGTCCCTGCCTTTACTGGGCCCTTGATCATGCGTAGCTGGCCGCTCAGGTCTCGTGGAAGGAGACAGCCCGGCGCCCTGCTCCACTGTGTACATTACGGCCAGACACTGGCAGGGGGAAGCACAAATCTGACCATGAGGCTGCCTGCGGAATCCCACTGTCTGTTTTATGGTGACTGGAGAGAACCTTCCAGAATCTCCCTGTCTAAATAATCCATGACAGAGTGCTCTCCCCACCACATTAGTGTCCGTTCTCACTTATCATGGTAAGCTCGGCAGGAAAAGGTAGCCTTAACAAAATGCAGCAGCCCCCTCGCCATCAGCAGGCTAATCTTGCCTTTTTAAAAAAAAAACAAAAAAAAAAAACCCAGCAGCAGCAGGATCTGCCTTCTTTGGAAATGACCAGGCCTGCTTTTAATGCGTCAGGCTAAGCCGGGCCCTCCTGTGAGTGCTTTATCAGCCTGTCTGACGCATGGCGATCAGGCCCTGTGAGCTTTGTGGCTTCACAGAGAATCACGAGCTGCCAAGTTTCCACAAGGAAACATGACAAATTATTATAAAAGACATCATATTTGTCAGTCGCAAAATAAATCATTTACTCTTTTAGGTTTTATTTGGAGTACGTTTGGTTGCCAGTTGTGCATTTTGGTGGCCAGACTTACATGTTTCTATCATCCACCAAATTAAAAGGATGTTAATATTGCCTTAGATTGCGTTGCTTGCTAACATGTAATAAAATAAAAAAAATAATAATAAATAGGATGAAATGATTGTGCGCTGACTAACAAGCTTACCAAAGCGGGGCGTGAAACGCATTCTGGCTGTGCTGAAACCTGTGTTTTGGCAGCGACGGTCCTAGGTCAGAGTCTCTCAGCATGCACCTGTGGAGGTAGTGCCAGGGTGGAAGCTGAAGAATGTGACCCCCCTGAGCAGTAGCGTAACTCAGAGGATCTAAGACCAGCAGCTCCTGACACCAGTGCTGGGAACATCCAGATTCCAAGAGTCAAAACATCCGTAGCTGTCATGCTGCTCGTCTAAGCTTACTTATAATATAACACTGACAGTCTCTCGGCTGACTCCTCCCCCCCCGACGGTTCAGGGCGGGAGTCCCAGCAGTCAACAATTAAGACTGATATATACTTTTGCATAGATTCTACGGTGTCTGGTACAGCATAGCCACGTACCCTATGACAGAGTTTCCTAATCCTTAGGGACCCCCAGACATCAGGGGCAGTACTGGGGGGGGGGGCAGTGCCCCCGTGACAACATGCATGGTCCCCCCTAAATGCTACTTTGGAACAGCCAAAACACAAACATAAGCACATTTTCTTGACCCTTAACGCAGGTGTGGGTTGAGTCGCTTCAAGTAGTGAAAAGCGAACAACAGAAAAATGTAAAGAAGCTTGTGGAAGCAAGACAGTCTAAGCAACAAATCAGAGTTACGTATTTGTAAAAACTGTTAAGTGTAACTGCAAAGCATTGCATAAAGCATTGGTTTTCTATATTGTCTTCTGTTTCTTAATGCTGGCAATCTAATGTAAGTAATTCTACGCATAAGTATAAATCAGGTGTTTTTTATGTGTATTGGAGGATGGCTGGGCCTCCTGGCCATTCTGTCACCTAGGTGGTAACACTCATTTCTCTGGCTCTGCACTCTCTAGGCCACTGGAGTCCTGGGCATGTCCTCCCACTAAGGAGTAAAGCCAGGCTCTGTCAGGAGCCAGATAAACTTGTCCCATCGTTTCCAGTTCCCCAGCTAAAAGGCTTGTGGAGAAAAGCTGGTTTTCTTGCCCAAGATTCTGATTCTGAGATTCATGGGCAAGACAGCCCAGAATAGGCTAGGAGCAATCTCAGAGCATGTTTTTCTTATTTATATCTTAAATAGAAAGAGTATTTGAAGGAAAACTCATTCTGACGTCATTACAATTGCTTGAAGGGTGCATACATTTTTATCAAATAAAAATATTATTTGTAGCATTTTAAATGTATCCTCTGTCAGGAGTCATGCCATTGCTCATTTTACCTACGTTTGACGCCAACTGCTCATGACCTACAGATTTTCAGCCCTAGCAGTGAGTGGAGCAGAAGGCGTCTATAAAAAGTCCTCCACACCGGTCTAGGAATCAGTTCATCCTTGGAAAATTTCCCTTGAGCACAAGTTCTTGTCATCAGGTCCAGAGGCATGTGAAGTTCGCACAGTGTTTCACGTTTGTGGAACGCAAGAATGAGAGAAGGAAGGTGTTCAGAACCCCTCAGGGGGACAGAGCTGAGTTGTGACGGGATGCAGCTGGCTTTGCTGTGAACCTGCAGGCACAGGAGATGTATGTGAAACCAAACACTTCATACCACTTATCTAATACAAGAAACTCATGGCAGGTTTGCAGTGAAAGGACCACTTACTCCAATAAATCCTGTTGTTTATAGTTTTACAACATTACTGATGGTCTTCAGTCCTGAAAGTACAGTAAATTGTCTCGCACCAATGAAACTGATATATTAACATCTAACAGAGTGCTGGCATATCTATGCAAAGACAAATTGCAATATTTCTAGGCATGGTTTTCAGCATGCTGTCACACCTTTTGCTTTTTAGTTACTTTGAACAAACATTAGAAAGGAAGAGAATAGGCAGAGACTTTGCGTGTGTACGTATGTGTCTCATCTGGTTAATCACAGCCAGAGAAGCCCGTTGGTGACCTGAATATAGTCCATTCAAATTCAAAGTCAATGTCTGCATCAAGGGTCCCGGAGAGCCCACCCTCAAAGACTTAAGTTTGCCAGGAATCTGGAAACAACTGATATTCCAACTGAAGATCCCAGGTGTCCAGAGCTGTCACCCCCCCCCCACTCTAGTCTTGTTGTGTGAGATTCTGTAAGAAAGTAAACAAGTCACAGAATCCCTTCTGTCACAAAAACTCTTTTACTGAATAAATACCTCATTCTACACCCACCTGTTTTGGTCTGTTAGGTCACTCATCTTCTTGAGGTGTGGAAAGGCCTGAGGGGTGGGGTCTTGGCTTGTCTGGTTAAGAAGCACAGGTGCAGTTCAGGGACAGAAGGCCATGGTAAGAGTCACTGTGCACCTCGTTGTCAAAAAAAAATCACTTTTGTTTTGTGACTGGGGAATACCAAAGCTTGCCTGTACTGGTTAGTCTTCAGCTTGGGCTATTAAGGCAACTGTTTGAAGAACAGAGTGAAAGATGTGTGCGTGTGTGTGTGTGTGTGTGTGTGTGGGGGGGGGGGGGTCACTGAGGATGATATTGTGTTCTGAAATGTGTCACGGCATGCGGAACGAAGGACTCAAAGACAGGCGTTAGGCAAAAAGGGGTTTCATTAATTGAACGGGAGCAGGGAAACAAATGAGACAGCAAGAGGTCAAAACAAGAAGGCTGGTACAGGAAAAAGACAGGAGGAGCGACGTCAATGACCGGACTGGGGCTGATGAGCCAAACATGGAACTTAAATACAAAGACTAAGGAGGGGCAACAAGCAACAGGCGTGGCTCTTCAGGGCCACGTTAAGGAGACAGGAGGGTCAGGCAGACATGACGGGCAGGACGTATCAAAATGGCAATGAGGCATCAACCAAACTGAATTACTTCTGTTCCTGTGTTTCCCTTATGCTCGAGTTCAGTAGTAAAACCATGAACAATAAAATCATCATTTGTGTGTGGATAAGAATTGGATCTTTGGAACGCTGATTTCTGATTGTTTTAAAACCATCATTTGAATCACCTGTCAATGAATAAACAGCAGGTACTGTTTCAGTCGAACACTTTCTCCCTCCTTTTGTGATTTCTGGGGAAAAAATGTTCTCAGCTCTCCATTTGCCTTGACCCTGTGAGCGGTGTGTGCCCTGTGATACCTAAATGTGGCTTCTTGTGGAAGACCACCCTTCCAACAGGAGACACTGCCAAGCAAGCATCAACACCCGTTGCTAAGACGCACTCAGTAGAGGCACAAGGGAGAGCCCCTGCTGCAGGCCTGATAGGAAGAGCTGTCAAAGAGTGGGCCTCCTCAGGACACTCCTTGTTCTTCTTTATCTGCAGCAATTAAAACATTTAAATTCCTTCCAAGAACTTGGGAGTGGGGGTAGGCTGTCAAAATGATGTCTGAAGAAAAGTAGCAGGTTTGGGTATATCTAGTGTGAAGGCCATCTATGGATATGAGCGAGCAGAAATATCTAAGTTCTGCCAAGAGACACACTATTATCACACATCCTAGGCCATTCAACGTCCGGGAATGATGCTGTATTTCTATTAAACACTTAAAATGCATGCATTCAAAGTTACCCCTTAGCCTTTAGATCTGCCTAAGTTGTTATAGTTAATTCGATAAATTAGTACCGTATTTCTGTGAAGGAATACTGGAGACATCCGACAGTCACGCGCGTCCGGACATCACCCAGAGCGCGCGACGAGCGTCAAACAGAGAGGTTAAGCGTTTGGACTGCAATTAGACGAGTACAGGACTGAGAAAGTATGGATAAAGATCTTGGTTTGTAACTCGGTTATTCTGCTAGATTAACGCCTAGTGTGGATGGATGCGATGAATACATTGTATTGCTAGTTTTACATCCAACGTAGTGGACGTTAAGGATGATAATATATGACACTCGCGAGCATACGTTAGCAATATCTAAGTTTTGAGCAGGGTATTAATGTATGACGAGTATATTTATATATAGACACACACACACGAGTTACTTTTTATACCGTAAAGAGTGATGTTTATTCAATTATAATTACATGTTGGTAGCTTTTGCGCATACTTTCCACATTCCTGTCAGACCATCTGTAGTTCAATACCGCAGCTGAAAAATCCCTTCGCTCAGGTACCGCGGTGTTTCTGTTGGCAGTAAGCGACACTCCTGCTTTCGTTGGAGCCTCGGGTGGTGTGTTCTGCCTCCAGTTTCGTGCTGTAATATGCCCTCCGAACGCCCCGCCTTTGGCTTACGGTAAGCTGCGTCGCAAAGCCGAAGATTGGCCTCTTAATCTCCTGGATCGAGTGTGCCTGTTTTCTTTATCGTAGTGTATCACATTATGTATGTGTAACTCTATTAGGCTGTAAACCGTAAATTATGTTGGTTTTAAATACAGTGGCTGGGCTCATTTATTAATGCCTTTTCTGGGCGTCTCTGTTCACTATCATGGGTCTTTTTGGCTGGAACGTCACATTGACCACAATTTACCATGAAACTTCTACTTACAACGCGAGATCCTGTGGTCCATGACAGTTTCTTCTGTCTACTCCCAGAATCATTTTCTTTGACCCACATTCCCAGAATGCACAGAGCTTATGGGCTGTCTACTTTATAAACTAAAGTGTCAGGTAGTGCTGGTTGGTTTACTGCTGTATCTTAACCAAAAAGCTCTATGGTGAACTGTACACAAAGCATATAAAATTAACCTTCAGTAAAGTAGAGGGGATAATAGAGAGAAATGACTTGACACAAACATAATCAATGAAATTCATAATGGGCTTCAGTAGTGTTTGGTGTCTGTGCATAGAAGTTATGTATTTCTTATATAAGACATAAAATAACCACATCATTTATCCACAAGAAGCTTGTTTCTAGCAGTAAATGTTTACACCTCTGTAAGGTGGGATGCTATGAACTAATGGCCGCTTGCCCAGATAGGTCCTTTAGGTCAGCTCTGTGACAACAGTGGTTGTGTGGGGGATGTAAGGACGAACAGGAGACGGGGGTCATAGAGATCTCTGGTCTCTCTAAACACAGGCATTAAGCATGGCCCATTTCCTTCCTAATTCCTGCCCTCGGCAGAGCCCGACTGAATGCATTAGGGTGTGCTACCATTCCTAAGAACCTCCCGGCTTCCACACCTTTGCTGTCATGGTGCACAGGCTCTGCATGAATGCCCCAGTTCAAAAGCAAACACAAGGTGCCCCATGGCTTACAATACAAATACCCTCTTCTGGAAATTTGCAGGCTCTGTATAACCGTTTGGCATAATATATTATTCACTACAGAGAAATATGTAGATATCAAAGCAGTAGTCAATTATATTTCTTCGGAAATCTGTTATTTGGAGATAAATCCTTGAACATACTGTGAAGATGAGTGTATTGTTTCCTTTGGTCTTGCATTTACCATATAACAAATACCCAAACTGAATACTTTCATAGCTAATCTAAAGAAACATATGGCAAGTTATATTGATTTAGTAGTCCATTATTGTTATTCATAGACATTAATATAAATGTTTTCAGTTTCATAAATATACAATACAACAAATCATGATGCTAACACAACTGAACTACATTGTCAAGTTATTTTTTCCTGTTTCGGAAAGAAACAGATGTCAATGAGTTGGTTTCTTCTTGCGTTGCAGATGTACATGGGGTGTACTGAGAAGCACTGCATAGATAAGGTATGGAAAAAAAAGTGATGGGTATCAGGATATATAGGGCACACATAATGGCACACACTGACCATATTGTTATCCATCTCCGGAAAGATCATCTGACTAAGATCAGCTGTGTTACCAGGATTAATTTAATTGTAGTCTTGATAAATCTAATATGATAACATTTCACAGACCTTTTTGCCTAAACATATGTATTTTTAATATACTTCAACATTTTACAGTATAGATAACTAAAGACACAATTCTCGTGGTCTTAAATGTATGTGACCTCATTATTCATCATATTGATAATGTTCTATTGCATCACTTTTGGTGAAGATACAAAATAAAATCAGGGTCGTGTCATATATAAGAGATTGCAAAGTCCAAAAAAGGGTACAGAGAGTTTAGAGTAATTTTTCAGTTCCTCGGCATATAAGACATGATCAGTTGTCATAATACAGAATAAATACAAAATTCCCAGTATTTTTGCCAGTTGTAAAGTAACCTGTGAAACAAGGTTTTTAATGCTATTGAAAAATAATTAGAAGTTACACTCCTGTAAAAATGCTGAATGGTGTACGCTTGTGTTACTCTGGGTTGAATTGAGTTGGAATGCTATGAAAATGGGTAATTGTTGCAAACAATCATAAAATTCTGGCAATTGTATGTTGTCAGATACATCAAAAGTCTTTATCAGTGATCATTGCTTTTACACAAGCATCCTACTGAAACTGGGCTTATGGGTGAGTAAGAACTCCAGTTGACATGTTTTGAACTCTGTCTTAGTTGCACTGCACAATATTGCATGTGGCTGTATAGCACAGACATGGAACAATACACAGTACAATGTCCTTCCTGTGGAATAGTACTACGCATCTTCACATTGACCTTCTAATTACTAATTCCATCACTTGTGTGAAAATGAGGATTAATTTTACTGCACTGTGTAAAAAGGTATAAGATGGAAATTAAATTCTCTAGCTGGAGGTGAGCTGCTTTTGTGCCTGCGGGGGATCTTCTTGAATAGAAGCTTAATGTGACCATTCATGTTAGATTGTGTGGAACTGTAGAGCTAACACAAGGCTGCCGCTCAGGCAAATTGTTTACATACCTTGAGCTCTATATATAGACGTTTAAGGAAGAATTGCTATTTAAATAATGTTATTAAGTCAACATTGATTTATAGCAAAGCTGCCAAGTTCATGCTTTGCCCAGCTCTCGACCACAGAGATGGGTTGACTTTATAGACTCAAGTAGAATAATGTTAGTTCTACATTTGTGCTGGTAGGCTTTGCAAGACACAACTTGTGGCCCAATATGTTTTCCTCCACTAACAATAGGGTCATTCTTTGTATGCAATATGAATTCCGAGACTTGCAATATCTTCAGAAATTTAGCATAATTGTTATTATAGTGGTTTAAGGTAATTAAGTTATTATTATTATTATAGTTATTATTTAGTGAGTATTGTTGACTAATGTAATTCAGGTTATTGATTTTTAAAATGTATATTATTGTTCACATAGTTGCATACTTATAGTTTTGTGTTTGTGCACTTGAGTTTATTATATTCTTAGATATGAATGAGAGAAAAGTAATATAAATATACTGTATGTGATTGGCCTTAGCAGACCAGTCTTAATGCTATAGATTGAGATAAGACACTTTTATGGATAGCTGATTGATCTCACAATGATTTCTGGGGGAAAATACAGTGGTTTACATGCTGTCAAGGGAATTATTAATGTTAATTCAAACGTAATTTCAAAACAAATACATTGTAGACTATTTATTTTCTTAGGTTTTTGTAATAAGTAACATGAAAGGCTTCGTATTTGTTTAGGTCATTATGTGGTGCTTTGCATGTTGGAAGTTAAAATGATTATTGGCAATATTATTCTTCCAAAAATTCTGCACAAGAAGTCTTCAGGGATGCCAGCACACATATCCATACAAGGGTCGCAGGGCTCAGAGCCTATCCCACAAGTCCGAGGAGAGGGATACCAGCCTGTCACAGGGCACACACAATTGGCAATTTAGTGATGACACATGACATAACTGAATGCTTTTCAACTGCAGAGGAAACCAGAATAGTTGGAGGAAAGCCGACCGATACAGGGACAATATAAAACACACAGACCGGGGGCAGGATTTCAACCACCAATACTGGAAGTGTGAGGCAATGATGCTACCAACCAACACATAAGTGTTATGTTTCAAAGTGAAAATGATTTGTTTTGCTATTTACTTTCTCACTCAGAAACAGTGTATGTGCAGCCTTAAAACAACACAGTCTTTTAAAAAACTATGGCAGTATAGAACATGGAAACTGGTTGGTATGTTTTACGCACAGTGGCGCGGTACAAAGTGGCAGACATTAGATTCACCTTATTTAAATAAGTGTTTTGTATCACAGCAAATTATATTTTATAAACTTGGAAATATATAGATTTAACAACAGTAATGTGCATATATGCAATATATGTGATGTTAACAATATAGAATAACCGATTAAAGTATGCAGTTATTGTTATATTATTATTCAATATACTTCGATTTAGATTTTTTAGACGGTAAATCATAAACATTAAACAACGTTGAATGAAAAGTTCTTAGAATTTTAAAACGTTTAGTTCCGCTGATATGCATCGTTAAACAGTAAACATGAACTTTGTTTTTAAAAAATTCAGAACCATTTATTTGTAAAAAATCTGTTTATAGATATACACATGTACATTACACCATGAAGTAATAGGCTTTTTAATGGCAGACATGGTAAAGCTTAAATCGTACTATATACTGAAATAATTATTTGGGTAATTTTATAAATGGCCATAAACGAAGTCATGTATAATATTTATGTATCCATTGTCTCAGCCACTCCCAATCACAAAATGCACTAAAACCTTATATTGCCACATTGGGACCCCAACGAGAATGACGTGGCGATCAGGATATATATATAAAAATTCCGCATTTGTGGAATTATATTACATAATCTGTAGATTAAATTGAAATCATTATGGAAAAGATTAACCTTGAAATTATGGAAAGAACACATGTGAATCGAGTTTGTAAAAATGATAAGCTAATAGAATTATTTCGATATAGTTTCTGTCCCGCTGGATTAGGATTTCATTTAAAGGCCTATCCATCGCAAATTAAACGCAAAGCGAATAAAGTATGACCTCAATTTCAAATAAAAATCAGCCGTTGTATTTATATTGTTTATTGACGATGTATTAATTTTTGCAGACACCTACAAACATTATTTCCCCTCGCAACCAAATAATCACAACATTCAAAGTGAAAATATGCATAAAAATAATACTCAAAATCACTGACCTAATGTAATACTAAATTGAAGCGCATTGCAGGTTTCTTTTGGGAGTAAACCTTCCTTGCGATTGTGGAAAAATTTAATGCAAACACTTGATTTTATATTGTGCATTACAACGCTTTGCACATCCATGTGCGAATTCGTATCATGAAATTCTATACATGTTGCTAATTCTTTACATATTATTCACATGAAACGCGTTGATTTTTCATTGACGCTGAATCCTTGTCCTCGACTAAAATCTTACAAGTTTTAAAATAAACTTCCTGACTTTCGCCGGATCAACACTTGAAACAGGTGGACGGACTTGACAATCAAGTAATTACTCATTTAAAAGACCTGAGGTCAAGCGAAAATCAGTACGAATGCTACCCTCATGAGCCCTTCATACAAGTAAATTTATCGAATAAAAACGTTCCTGCTAAACTGAGAAATGTTCTTTCAACATCACAATGCTCCATAGGCATAATTTGAAGACTTTAAGCAGACCCCCCCCCCCCAAGTTAATTGCATAATTATAAAAAAAAATGGGAGGCATTGAGGGGATTTTACTGTGGCTCAGAGTTTTTTTCAAGGTTAATACATTCCTCCGCATAACGCCCCGTTTGACAACCAAGGCTGAAAGCAGTACATGTATGGATAATATTGATAGGCTTGATACAGTGGAATGACAGGTGAACTGGATAACTCCTCGGTTCTGTATTGCTTCTGGTCGTTCCTCACCAGTACTTTTACCGCGACTTTTTTGGCCATTGCTGGCGGGGAACTTGCTGCGAATTCAGCTGCCATTTGGCGTCGTTTAGTTTTGTATCTCCTGTTCTGGAACCAGATCTTCACCTGGGTTTCTGTTAGTTTAAGAGCTCCGGCCAGGTCTGCTCGTTCTGGACCAGAGAGGTACCGCTGCAAATTAAAGCGTCTCTCCAGCTCATAAACCTGCGCGTGAGTGAAGGCTGCTCGAGAACGTTTCTTGCTGGAATTGGGGTGATCACCAAGGCCGCAACTCTCCAGTTTCACTTGCTCTATATCTGGCAGTTGTTTATTCTTGGCTGCATTAAAACAGAAAACAAAAGAACCCGACTTTTTATCAAAATGTTATCATTGCAATATAAATCTTGTTAAATGCCTTTCTTTTTTTAACTACACATGCTAGTTAGAGTTACACGCCTAAGCAATGTGAATTAGTACGCGAGACCCCTGTCAGGTACAGTCACACGAGGCTTTAGAAGACTTTCAGAACTGACCGTGACTTAAAGCCTCCAAATTATAAATGGTAACGTGTTTCTTGAGGATGTCATAATGATCTGAGTAATATACTAAGAATAAATATGTATTCTATGAATTATGCTCACAAACAATGCTTTTTAAACATCGTTGATAAAATAAAACAGGCTACAGTTAAAAATTAAAACTGGCTACAAAGCACTAAGACATATAAGCAGAACTAATACGTTTTTACCATGATTAAAAATAAAATGTGGACAACTAGAGCAAAGAAAACAAGTCAATACTTTTGTTAATGTCCCAGCTGCGAGTCGTTTTTGACACATTTCTGAGACGATAGTAGCAATAAAATGCCATGGCGAAATACCAGTATGGAACTAGAATAATTTGTCAGTTTCTTATTTTATTATCATGTATGAACTTTTTATGTGTTTAGAAAAAACATATATATATGTGTGACATCAGTCATATTTATTGGTTAGTTATAATATACCTTTGTCGCAGTCGTCATATTCTGGTTCCTCACCAGTGGATCCATCTTCACAAGAGGTTTCGTCAGATGAAGAGCTGTGTCGGACGTACTGCTTGCATTGTCCTGCCATGATCCTTGTACTCTGAATGTTCGACTTCACCTCAAACCGAATCCGCTTTTTCTGTTCACTGTAATCCTTGGGGGAGACATGGTTCCATCCCTCCTTCCTGCTTACAGGTTTCATCTGTAGATCAGATTTATCAAGTACACATAAATGTGGGTTTCTTCTGGTGACAGGACTAGTAAACTGAGACTCGCGTCCTCGGGTTAATATGTCATTAATCGAGAAAGAAGTACGACTTTCTGCCATCTATGGCGTTTGACGAACTCCGATTTATAAGTGTATGGCACCCAAATTATAACTGACAACAAAAAACTGAACCCGCGTGCCTTCATCCAAAAATTTCGCCTGAACAAGAATTAGAATAATTTGCGCTGTCTTCCTTCTCTTGTTTTGGGCGATTTCTTTGCAGTATGCACTTGTCGGCCAAGTTAACTGTGAATCTGTCAAAAATGTTTCGTCCCTGTCGGTAGACCCTGCAGAATAACAGAACTGCGAGTTGACTGGCTATCTGCTCTCTCTTGCTCCGCCCCTCCATCCTTCCCCCACAGAAAGAGGTTCTTTTGATTCTTTATATAACCCAGTATAATACACATTTGTTTATTTTTCATCTGTGATGAATATGCAGAATTAGCACAGAATTAATTTTTGGTAAAAGACAATTGTAGAAGTTCTATTTCTGCTCCCAGTTAAAAACCACAAGTGCTTATAAGTTACAATTCAAGTGACTTTTTTATTTTGCATGTAAGCAGGGATTATGTGAAATTCGTATATATACATTTCCTGCTCAAAGCCTACATTACAACTAATTCAGTATTTCTGAATCAATCGAAATAATTACTCACAGAAAAACAATGTAATAGTATATGCATGTATGCATGTATGTATGTTGAAAGTGACTTTGAAAAAGAAACTAAAACTTTTAGAAACACACATGCACTGTTTGAAATCGGCGATTACTTTTTCCGCCACTATATTAAATGTTCTGTCGTAATATACTAGCGTTTAAACAAAACAATAAATCACGTGCAGCCTTTGATTAGCAACACTTCTTTGTATTTTTGAAAGAACAGGCCAAAAAAAATTTAATCCATGACGTAGAACATGAGGATCTTAAGGCGATAAGAACTGAAAAAGATAAAACAAGAATGAAATACAAGTCGGGAGCAGAGGGAAGAAGTCCTACAATATATATGGATACATGCACTGATTGATTCGGACACGCTTTTTACTTGTTTGTAATATTTATGTATTTGTTTTGTTGTACACATATTACGTAATATCAGAAATGCTTGTGCACCGCATGACGAGATTCGAGAAAATTAGAAGATATTAATTCATAAATGACACTAATAGGTTTAGTATAGTTCCTATTAATAACTGCATTGGCTTATAGTTAAAATAAACCTCCCCAATGTATTTGTTCTCCTTTTCTCACTATACTTTTCTGGTAAATGATCTGCGTCTTCAATTGTGCATAGCATTTGCATACGGGCATGGTGCTTGCAGTCGTGCATTGCAGCGCGGTAGACCTTGGCATCCACAAAGGTGCTTAGACTTGACTATTTGTCATGTTTAGAATCAGTGGTGTCAGTAGATTCAGAACATTATACATCCTGTGCTCTGTTGCGCTGCGGTCTATTTTTCCAGTTTGATGGATGTTGGTCAGTGTTGGGCCCAAGATTTTCGGGGTGGGGGGCAATCAATGGCTTTACCTGGATTCCATCCTGGGGAGGGTATTGGGTATGTTAAGCGGGCACCAGAGTCCAATTTGTGCCTGAGGTCTTTTGGAAGTTCCCTGCTGGGCAGTGGTGGTGTTAGAGTTGCACCAGCAAGGCTAAAGCCTCAAGTGTTTTTAGCAAAGCCGCAATCTTTTTTTCGTTATATCGTGTTGGGTATATGTATAATATGGTTTTGTTTTCCAAATTCAGAGCCAGGATGGACACAAAACTAATGTACTTCAAAAGGAGTAGACAGACCCAGGTGCATTTACTAAGGGTCAATAACCCCCTGAGGAACAGACCAAAAACAGGCACTTAAATACACTACTAACAAGACGAAACACTGGTGAGAACCATAACTAATCAACTAATCATTAAGGACTCGGGGTAACAAGGAACAGGTGGGGTCAAATAACAGATACAGAAAAGGTCCAAACACTAAGGGAAACTAAAACAAGGAAAACTGAACAAACAGGGAACAGGAAACAAAAAACAAGGAACTAACTGAAATACACAAACACCTGATGAACTAAGAAAACACAAAATAACAAATGTTAAATAACAAGTTCAGCCTGGCCACCACAATAGGAAAGTTAGGACAGTGACAAACCACTTAGCCCATTAAGCCACATGTCTGCCTGGGGAACCGGCAAACACACTAGGGTAACACTAAATGGGATGACCAGTGAGAACTGCTTTCCAGACAGGGAGAAGACACACAGGACAGGGTCAGTTTACAGATATGTACTAGCCATACTCTGTCAGAGTATGTAAGCCTGTAAATGAAGTTTAAGTATTTGAATTTTGTTTTTCGGAAATGTTTTTTATACAAGTTTTTGGAAATATGGTATAAAGTACCACGTCATATACACAAAATGTAAGCGACTCTCAAGTAACTGCAAAGATCATGTAATTAGCTCCACCTTGTGGACATTTTCTGATATTTACCTTATATTCTGAAAAAAGAAAAAAAATAGCAGCAGTAGTAGTAGAAGTAATTTTTATTTTATGATTGTGATCCTTCTTTGATCTCTGTATCTTGAATTGGCTGCTTTGTTTATCACATAGAGATTTGTGTCTTTACTGTAAGAGATGCAAGAAAGAGAACAGTCTGGTCTAGTTTTTAAAAGAATTCGCTTGATTAAAAACCAGGCAATAATATGCAAAATGTGTTTGAGGTTTTATATAGTTACTGATGCTGAATTAATGTAATATGAAGACTCCAGTTATTTTAAGTAATAGATTTCAAAGAAATGTTGATAGGCAAAGCCTTATAAACTATATTATTGGACATGTCGTAATGTTAAGACTAATTTTGATTTGTAGACTAATTCAGGTCAGTCATGCATAACTGAGTATATGAAAATCCAATTGTTTTCTATACCTGCTTGTCTTATGCAGAGTCACAGGGCTCTGGAGCATATCTCAGAAGGCAGGGAATACATACCACACACACCATTTACAATTTAGCAGCTCCAATTGATTTTAGCATGTTTTTGGACTGTGGAGGAAGCCACACAATGATACAAGGAACAAGAATATTCATGAATTTCTTGCTTCTTTTTGGCACACTTCTCAAAACATTTGGACCATGTCTATTTTAGCTTATTGTAAAATTACATTGGAGTATGACATGAACAACCTAAAACCAGGCGCAAATCTAGAAGAGCATTAGCTTGGTTGTAAGGGTTTTCCAGAAAGTTTCTCGACTGTCAAAGTTTGTGTTGTTCAGATTTCATCAGTAAGAATAAATATTGCTGGTGCTTCAGTCTAGTAACTGTAATTTGAACATTACCATATATTTTATTTTGCACAGTGTTTGGTTCAAGGCAATGTAAAAGTGAGGCAAATAGCACATTGCACACAGTGGCTTTCAAGGAGTCAACTAGACATAAATGCAGCTATGCTTAGTTAAAGAATGCCCAGTTACAAGTGTAAGAAGAATAGTATCAAGAACTACACATAATCTTCCAACAAATAAGGACAATGCAAGGACGAGAAGTGCAACATTAAGAACATTCTGGTTACACTGAAAGACATCAGTCTAGTGGAGGAATTCCTGAAACAGATTTATCATCTCTCTAGCAATGTGCATGTAGACGACAAATATATCCCTACAAATATATTCTGGCATCCCTGGCATTAGCAAAATCTGGCATTCCTGGATTACTTGAGTTAAACTCTTTATGTTCATAAACTCACCATTATTCCAGAGCAGTTTGTTTTAAGTTACATTCAAATGCCAAATTGCTCTTGGGATGACATTAGAAGTGGTTGGTGACTTTTATTTGCCCCCTCTTTGGTTAGTCCTAGTGCAAATTAAACTCATAATGGTGCATCTCATAGTGTGTGCATACCAAATACACCTTATATTGTAACTGTGTTTTACTATGTAGCCTAAAGACAGGTTTAGGTTTATACTCGTATATCAATAATGTTTCTACCTAAGAGATTCCCAAATTATACATGTCAAGTCGTTACAATCATATATTAATATTTCAAGTACCTCCCACTAGTGCCAGTTCTCATCCAGTAATCTCCATTTATTTATATTGGACATCAGATAAGACTTAACTGATGATTTTGAAGTTACAATAAACCTGTTAGCAGCACTAAGCAAACAGGATCTAATATCTGTCATCACTTTGCACATTTGACATGTTAATAAATTGTCAGCTAGATACCATCTCCCAGTATATTCGACAACCCCTTGATTATCCTGTTTCATAATGACTGAAGGCTAATCATGTTCCTTCATATCACCATTTTTTCCTTTTTTGTCCTCTAAAAAAGCCTTTTCATCGATGTGTGTAATCCAAACCATATACTGCCCAAGCATGTTTGGATCTTTCCACTTTACCTTCATGGGGAGTCTTGTTTTTTCACTACATAAAGCATCTTTGAAGTAAGAAGCAAATATAGCCCATAAAACAGAATAATCTGTTGCAATGATAAACATTTTCAATCTGGTAAAAATCTGACTGATTAAGATTTAATTCTTTGCCAAGTTTATTTACTTTAGTATTCTTTCACACGTCTGTGGGAGTGTTAAGACAAGTAACCACTAGCTCTTTTCAAACGCTAGTACCTTCGAATAGTGAATCCCCCAAATGTATCCAAATCCAAAATGAATATCAACAAATTCACATGATATGTTTGTACGGGTTTCATAAGTAAATATTTCATTTCACAGCTCATAACAAGCACGCACAAACCTGCCCTCTACGCAGTCTAATAGTTTAGCTGATGTTTTAAATGACAGTGTTGCCGGTTAAACCTAATTTTATCCCTTAGTTCCTGTAAATGCAAACTGTGTGTTTGCTATGCTATTGTTCACTTAATATATTCATTCAGTATATCAATTCAATATACTGATATATTGAATATGTTGATTATAATTTATATACATTGATAAATAAATAAATATTATATTTACCTACTTTATTTTTGTATCTATAGATGTATGCAATAGGAACATGTGTCACATTATCCGCATCTAGAGTATTTAGCAGAAACTCAAAAACAGTATTTTACTAATCAGTGTTGGAGGTATGGCTTTACTCTTAGATGATTTGCATTTATTACAAGAATCTCTTATTTCGTCGTGCGTTAATATGTTTCCTTTCCTAGATGTAAAGCATTTTGGATCATTTTTATTTTATTCCGATAATTGTATTTGGTTATAAACTGAATGTCACAGAGAACAGTGTATTCCATCGTTGATTTCCCCGAGAACGGAATAGTCCTATACGGAAATGCGTGCGGCGGAGTTATGTCACCGGCGTAATGTGATTTCCTTTGTCACATATTTATTTCTCATTTCTGTTGTATTCTTGCCTCACCTGTAAATCATTATATGACGCGTCAGGATCTTCAATTGCAATATTTATGGGTTTACATTGTATTTTATAATTTTACTAGTATTTACTAGTTTAAAAAATATTCAACTTTATAGAAATGCGTATAATATCGCAAAATAATTTATGTGCGACTTTTTCTAAGATCTCTTCTCCGGCGGTGTTCCATTCAAATTGTAGTTTCTGCTTCCTGTCTGTCTTCTCGACCCACCATCGTAGGGGGCTCTGTTTAATTTACTGGTAATCCACAGTTCTGAGAAACAAAGTCTATGTGTAATCATTGAGACGCAAACAAATAGTGCAGAAAGGCCTGGTTTATTTTTAAATCTTAGTTAGGGGTCCAAGAACTAGCCTATTGTTTTTTTTTTTTTAACTTTTGAATAAATAGTTAATCGTGTTTTAAAAAATATAGAATAAATGAATAAAAACATAAGTGAAAATATATGAAATATCTGAGCTTATAAGACCTATCATGGATACAAATCTGCATCAGATTTAACTTGAATTAATTACGCTTTTTCTGGCCTCTGAATGTTGCACTTTATAAAAGTTGCACTTTTTTCAGTTTCCTTGAAAACGTTTTCTTTGCAATGGAGCGGCAGCGAGATCTTGTTTAGAAAGAGGGCCCCTCTTTCATAAAGATTTTGCTCCACGCTAAAATTACGGTATTGGAGAGACGGATTTAGTGCTACACTTCATACAAGATGGGTAGTTGAAATATGTTTTATTGGCTAAACTGTTTAAATGAGTGATTTAGTTTATAAATGCATTTAGACGTTAATCATTTACACGTATACGCTTCTTTGCACTGTCGTTTGCGTCCGTATATCTCAATTCCCTTCGTTTTTCCTACCTCACAGAATCTCTCAGTTTCCGTACTCCCGTTCTCAAGTAGACAAATGGGTAAACTTGTAGCAATAATGACCCCGCTTTCAGACACCAGCCTCCCGCTGTACCTCCATCTCATGGAGCCTGACTGGAGTGCTCTCCCCCCAATCAGAGCCCCTTTCTCAGTGAACAAAAAAGAACGAACAAAACTGAACACATTTCTATCCATTCTCCAACCAAAGTAGAGCAGCTAGCTTGTTAAGATAATGTCCCCGCTCCTGCCTCATTTAAGAATATTTTAGGACGTCAATCTTGCAGCTCCTGGACTCCTTTGTTTTTCATGAAGACCCAAGCTTCCTACCACACACCTTTTGTTCATGACGCCAATAACGGCTATTATGCACAGCCCGTAGCCCAAGCCTAACTGCTTCTTTCATGCTTTTTAAGATGCTTAATCGCGTCGTCAGAGCTTCCCAATGTAGGAATAACTTCCTCCTTTCACACCACTTGGCACATGGACAATTATTCTGAGTCCGCACAGCCTTTCCTTTCTGCCTTCAATAAGACATTTTGGGTAAAAGGGAAGGAACGGACAAAGATGCGCCATGCTATAATCAGCACCCAATGCTTTTAGCCAGTTCTGTTGGTTATGTTTCACAATGTGTGGAAAGGCAAACTTGAAATCAAGTAATGCATTGATAAAATACAAATGTCGCTGGAACGTTATAATTATATATGTGAGAAACACAACATTTCCACTGGTTTCTATTTGTATATTTCTGGAGCTAGATGTAGCGTAATTAGCAAAATTATGATTTTCATAAACTAACGCGTATTAAGTACAAATACAAAACTGAATCTTACATCATTATGAAGACAATGAGTACTTTCATATAGATCTGGGCTGTGAAATGAAAATTAGATTAATAGCATTTACAGTCCCTTCTAATATCTGCTCCTCATATTACGAAAAACAGTATATTCATGCTACATACCTATAAACTGTTTATTTTCTCATTACATTAGGAAACTCAGATTGGTTTTGCATATACGTATTAACCATGAAGTGTGTAACTTTTATGCAGATTTACCTGTAATAAATAGTATATCTTGTTTTTAGAGACGCTGATTTCTAATCATTTCTGAAGTAATCAGATAGTATTAGCGTTTTCCTTGCTTAACATAACACCAAACACACTTAGAAATATACAGAGCAGATGACTTTTCAGTTGAGACAAATTGCAGTGTCTTCAGATATCAACCAACCAACAGATATCAAAACACCTAACTTTGTTTTAGAAATACTGCAGCGATTTCAAATTCCTTAGCATCGATCCTGGTCTTGTGGTGACATCTGGTCGGAAGCTTTCTACCATGCACGAATTCCATGCAGTGTTCCTTGACACGCTGAGACGGCTGTCCCTTGGTGTGTTGGAGCCCGGGATGAAGCACTGAGACTCGCAATATTGCTAAGGTTCATGTTCATGAAGGCGCTGGCGGCTGTAGTCGGGGGGAGAGTGGAAAGAGTGGAGTATGTACGGCTGTAGCCGTTGTTGTACGGCGGAGTGCTGTAGGTATATGCCGGATAACCACTGTAGTTGTAAGGATTTGCTCCCATTGTATAATGTGAGTTGTAGTTCTGTGATCCCCCCAAGCAGGGTTTGCCATCTCGGACCAAAACTGGCACAGCCACACGTCTTGGTGGTGGTGGATGTTGATGTCCTGAGATGTCCAGTGTTTTGTCCTGGCGCTGTCGCTTACATTTGTATCTTCGGTTTTGGAACCAAATTTTTACCTGTGTGGAAGTCAGTTTCAAAGCACTGGCCAAGTGTTCCCTCTCCGGCGCCGACAGGTATCTTTGCTCCTTGAAGCGCCTCTCTAGTTCGAATACTTGGGCCTGCGAGAAGAGAACCCTCGGTTTCCGCCGGTTCCTCTGTTTTTGTGGTTTCTCCGAGTCAGAGTGTCCACCGTCTTCACACTCCTGAGATTTCGTAACCATACTGCAGTTCTCTGCAACGTCAGATCATTACAATGTTATTATTTTGTCCTTAGATCACAGTCGTATAATCAGACTTGAGTTTAAAATGTTTGTGCTTTTAGAGGCGAATTCATGTTATTAAAATGCAAACGTGTACTATTTATGTAATAATGACGGCTCGTTGTGCACTTGTCTGCATAACCAACATGATTAGTGTTTAATTTGTGTGATAAAATAAATGACAACTCTTTGATAAAAGGGACCTTGGAATAACCAAATAAAAGTACATGATGTAAGTAAGGCTGAAAGTGTCCCCGCAAGAAAATGTTTTAGTAAGTAAAATGTTTTTGAACTCAGACCATATAAATACGCATCGTATACATTTCGCATACCTCATTGAAATTGTATAAATCTGAACACTTCTCTATTTGATTTGTACATTTTCTACATCAATATATATTTCATTACATATATTTCATTACGTCGCATAAACATTACTGTCATAATAATATAACTCGTTAGCTTATTTGTAGTAATTGCACTTTTAAAATTTTTGGAATGTCGGCGTTGTAACCATATATGCATTTATTTATTAATAGGTTATTAGTATATATTTGTAAATATATGCCCTAGATTTTCACCTTATCCTTAAGTTAATAAAAGTGGCATTGTTACTCACTGGTTTCCTGATCTTCGACCTCCGCCACTGAAGAGGTGACGGTAGAGTGGACAAGCGCTGAGGGAACGTAAACCTCTGAAGAAAGACTGCTATCTTGATCGGGCAACGAATTCAAGTAGGACATACTTTCATCTGCATCCGACAAGCCGGGGCTCTCCCCTGCCACGATCATGCACAAAGAAGTCGACTGAAAATGGTGCTGCTGCCCTTGAATTTCCCACTGATAGTACGCGTCGCGGGACTCGAGATTTAATGCTTGCGACTGTTGCTCGAGATTCAGTATATCTTTCACAGAAAACGGTGTCGTAGTGAATGGACTCGGAAGCATCATCGAATCCTCTCAGCTGCATCAAGAATTCTTCTCAGTTTACAGCATGGACCTCTTATAATGATTTTTGTTTAGATTGGCAATAACGATATATACACTAAACGTATGCTATTTAATCATTATCCAACCTCAACCAGAAAGAAAAGTTGAATGTAAAAGATGCTCGCCTGTTTTCCATGAATCAGGAAGATTGTTGGCTTTCGTGTATGACAGATATTCCGACAGCAGTTGTCTGTTTCGTTCCTGTTGTCACTTGGAGGCAAAGTGCCTCTTCTGCTCAATGACGTCACCGGCGTGGGGCGGGATGAAAGGGGAGGTAGTGTAATACCAGGCAAAAACTTTGGAAAAAATGAAGGCATGTATGGGGCAAGGTTAACTAATCGGTAGTATAAAACTTTTCACGGAATACCTAAGCAAAGAAAGCAGAGATATAAGAGGAAATAATTATAGACTATAGGCTTGATGCTGCTAAATTAATCTGCTGAAAAAGTCGATCATAGACAAGTCCATTTCATCTTGAGCAACAATAGCTTTTGAGAATAATCACAATTAATACGAGTCATCAATATAATGTTAGCAGCCGGGAATCTGTACCAAAAAGAGTGCCAACTTGTACCTTTGCTTGTCACTGTGGGTGTACCTTCAAGGCTCTGCCAATTGTACCATATAGCTGTAGGTACCTTTTAAGGTTCAGAAATGGGCTATGATGAACCTTATTATACCACTGGGGTACATTACTGTTGCTTCTACCTTGGGGATGTTCCTCAAAGTCCATTTCTGTACCTTTTTTTTCCTCACAGTGCAGCAATAGTAAAGTATGTCAAGAATTAAAGGAATTGTTAATACACGCTATATTTTTTATCATATTGTGTTGTAATGCAAACACTTGCGAAATATTATTTTATTTTATTTAACCTTTTTTTAACCAGGTTTGTCCCATTGAGATCACAGATCTCTTTTGCAAGGGAACCTGGCCAAGGTAGCAGCAACACAGTGTTAGTGCAGAGTCTTGCATAATATTACATAAAACATACTCAAATCATACATTTCCATACAGACAACCTAGTCTCCAGAGTCTTTACCACAGTTTTTAATTCCTTCACGGGTATTAAGTTGTGCAGACGAAGTTCAGCTTGAAGTCTGTTCCATGCGCCAGGCGCTGAAAACCTGAAGGCTTTCTTTCCCAGTTCAGTTCTTACTTTAGGAACAACCTGATTTTGAAAGTCCATCGAGCGAAGATTACGACTTCCTTGCTTCCAGGTCAGGAATGATGATAAATAGGAAGGAAGTTTACCCAGAATGACTTTGTAAATGAACATATACCACTGAACTTGTAAAGATGACCAATTTACTTTGGCATAAAGCACACACTAATGAGTAATAGAACCGCTGTCTGAAATAAACCTCAGTGCTCCATGATGCACACTATATAACATGGGTAAACAACGAGTAGACACATGCATATACAGTACATCACCATAGTCGATTATAGGTAAAAACGTCGATTCAACTAGTTTTAATTTTACATAGAAAGAAAAGCAAGATTTGTTTCTATAATAGAATCCTAAAAGGGATTTCAACTTTTTTGTTACATACTTAATGTGTTCCTTACAAGACAGGTCGTCGTCAATTAGATATTTAAAATTAGACACCAATTCTATTTATTGACCATCTCTTGTTAAAAATTTTCCAGCTAATGTTAATCTATCCGTTTTTGAAGTGGTGAAGAACATTTGTTTTGTCTGCATTTAAACTGAGTTGTAGATGACAAAATTGTTCTTGTACTTTGTCAAAAGCATCTTGAAGATATTCAAAAGCATTTGCGGTAGTAGGTGCAGAGCTATAGACCGCGGTATCATCAGCATAAAGGTGAAAATTTGAGTTTGAAATGTTCCGTCCCAGGTTATCCACGTATACGTACCCATTAGATATGTGAATGTATGACTAGGGATGGTTTAGTGTGAACAGGAATGTGGAAACACATCGACAAAATTTCGCAATGGTTCTTGGGCAGTTAAATACTTCAGTGAGATGATGAACCACGTTGAACCATAAGTTCAATCATTCATGTTGCTTGGAACAGTTACGGAGCAACTTCTGATAATTATATTCATATTTGTATTACAACGAACTTTTGTAATCCCATTATCAAAGAAACATTTCCTGATATGTTTTTTTCTACCTATCGTAACGTGTGTTTTAACAATAATACCCAATAATAAACAATTTAACGTTTATTTCTAGGACAGTAATGATTTATGTTTTAAAAATTGTGATCTTTCATGTCTAAATCAACCAAGAAATAAAATCAGTAAAAAATTTAAAATCTATGTAGCATTTTGAATCAATTAAGCCTGAATACATTTTCTTTTGTATAATGTATTGTTTCATGTTGTTGAAAATATTGTAACCGATCATATGTAAATCACATATGAAATAAAAGGATTTTCATGACATAAGGTGGTAGCAACAGTGTGCCGAAAGTCTTTCAGTCATTTTTTTTTGCTGTACATCCAGGAATGTTTAGTGTCTAGATATCGTGTTCAGTATTAGGGCGTGTGAATATTAGTTTATATATTGGAATGCTCATATGTAAATTTGTTGAATATATGTTTTCATATATTCATTTTTATTTATTCGCGTGCATTATACATCACCTTGTTTAAATAACCATGACAGAGTTTATAATGGAATATTTAATTGGCGGTGTGTGCACTGAAATATCTCATAAAATCTGATTTATGTGCTTATTTGTAAGCTGGGGCGGATGTAAGAGGTTGCAACCCCACATCAAAATAACGAAATATAGATTATTTTATTTTGTAAGCGAAGCCATATAAGAGACATCATGCCGCGCGGCCACTCCCATAAATACAACTGGCTCTTGTTAGGGTTGCCACCTGTCCCTTATACTACGGGATCGTCCCGAATAATACGGGATGCAGCAGTTTATCTTCCATTGCTGGACGATACCGTATTATAAGGGACGGGTGGCAACCTTACTTCTGATGGCCACTCCAATCAAAACTGTCTGCAGGCGCCCCTGTTTGAATGAATTAATTGTTTATGGAGAGTCTAAACAGCCTTTCTACTTTATAACGTGTTTCCCTCATTTTTAGGCAACATGTTTCGTGCAATTATGCGGAAATTATGAATATACATATTTTAAGTTATACATCGTCCCTGAATTAAGCTTTTCAGTAGTTAACTTGATCCAGTCAATTAAACTACTGGAGGCTATATTTTATATAAGTTTTCGCAGCAGATGATAAAACATTTTTTATAATCTGCTATATATTGTTTCTATAATTTCCTGTGCAGTAACCAAGTTTTTGTGCGGTTCTGAAGTTTAAAGAAATTATAGGTTTACAGATAGACGTATAAGTCTACAGAAAGATAGCGACGAAGTGAGACGAATTTACCGCCCTTCGATAGATTCTTTCGCAAATCTTCACTCAGCTCTGGTATTGCTAGATGTGGCACAATTCGTATCAATAGCTTGCTTATAATAGTTGAATTTTGATGGACTTTTCAATTTTAGGGTACAATTTGTTTGTAGACTTTTGGATAGGTTACTTGAAGCTCTCACCAAGGTGACCTCTTGTCCCCTGTCAAATCTGACCACGTATTGGAGCCAGTGACAAAAATTTGGCCTCCAATAGAACCAAGAAAAGGGCGAGACGACACAATCTCAAACGTTCTCCATAAACAAAAAGTGTTTATATCATGGCCGCGTCTTGCTTCTCCATCCCGAGCTTTATGCCCTCAAACGGCCCATTTCAGAGAGTGAATGAGAGTAATAGCAGCGGTTTACCCTTAATATAAACACCATCCTTGCGCTTCTTTCACTTAGAGAATGTTGTTCTTTTATTTGTTTGTACTTCGTAATGGATAATTGTATTTTTTTCAGGGGGACTTGGCCTACATATAAACAAAATTAATAAAACACATATAGACATATAACGATGCCAGTGATTTTCATGTTTTATCCTCGTTTTAAAACCATACAGCATTTGTAAAGTATTTCATTTACTACGCATTATTTACTGAAATTAAACCTCAGACTTGTGTCAAAAATCTAATTTAAATTTAAGTTGCATGTATACATCTTCTGAGAGGTAATTTTCAGGTTTGTTGATGTGTGTCTATCTTTGCCTAGATACGTTATTATGCCAGGGATACCAGAATAGTAGCTACAAAAATCGTCCATATCGATTTTGCTATCAGTTCCATCGTCACATATAAGTAGCGCATCATTTCGTCCGGCGTTGTATAAAACCGATTAACTTATGTTTTACAAATATTTGTGTAAACTGCATAATAAAACTGCATAATTGAGTGTACACATTTGAATGGGCAATATTTGTGTCCCCAATTAGTGTAAAATAAATGAAGCCTTGCCGGAAAGAAATAAATTGTAAAAATACCATACAGGTTAACATCGTCCCTTCAGTATTAAATGTGGACAAATATTTTACTCATATAATAAGTCTGGATTAAAAAGTTGGCTCAGTTTAGTTCACATGGCCGAAATTTATTTTAAATGCACTTGTTGAAATATGTTTAGCAATAAATGCATGTTTTAGATAAATGCATCGATTTCTATAAATCGATGCATATATCATCAGCTGTGTTAATGGAATAATAATCGCACTATTACTCAGATTTAACATGATTAACATTCTTTATTAGCAATAAAAACAACACGAAACAATAATGCAAATTCAAGAGTAGTCGCCAAATGATGCATCTCTTTAGCTCTATTTTATTTCATAAATGTATTCTGCGCATTTTTTACAACTGTCAACGATATTAAAGCAATGAATTTTTGTCAGAATCCGTTATTTTCGGTGACGTGGATGTTCAGGGGTTCGTTTGGGCAACATGGCAACAAAATGTAATAGTCAGCCCACTAAACACGGCTAATGTACTCCACGATTCTGAGGAACGTCTTGTTGTAGGTGATGTTATGGGTTTAAACCTCAAAATAAATAAATAAAATAAAAATATATAAAAAATAAAAAACATATAACCTTCTGTAGAAACAAGCTACTTAACGTCTTTAACTTGCCTGTTACAGCCAAACTTGACAAATTCTCATAAAGCACTTTCAACATCACTACTAACTCTAATTAAATTTACTACAGGTAAGTACAGTATTAGCCATTATAGGCCTACATTTGCCTGTTATCCATGCTTGCTTCAACACGTTGCCTGCGAAAATGGTAGTAAGAGACAGCTATAGAG